CAAACCATGGAGGCATCATGTTGAGCAGATTGCGGGTTGCGGTGCTTGGGAGAAGTCTGAATGTTGGTGGTTGACCGCTGGCTTTGCGTAGCTTTGCGATGCTTGGATGTTGTGGACGCATGGCTGCGTATCCTCAGCAGCCCACCATGTGTTGGGCAGTGGCGTAGTGGTGTATGTCCACAGTGGTGGCGTCCCAGGCGGACTGCGGGCAAGTTGAGTCATGCTCCTTGCACCGCGCTGGCTCCATATTCCTAGCCCTGTGGGCAGCTTGTTGCACACAAGGGCAAACCATGGAGGCATCATGTTGAGCAGATTGCGGTTTGCGGTGCTTGGGAGAAGTCTGAATGTTGGTGGTGTACCGCTGGCTTTGCGTAGCTTTGCGAAGCTTGGATGTTGTGACGCATGGCTGCGTATCCTCAGCAGCCCACCATGTGTTGGGCACCTTGGCTTAGTGGTGTATGTCCACAGTGGTGGCGTCCCAGACGGACTGCGGGCAAGTTGAGTCATGCTCCTTGCACCGCGCTGGCTCCATATTCCTAGCCCTGTGGGCAGCTTGTTGCACACAAGGGCAAACCATGGAGGCATCATGTTGAGCAGATTGCGGTTTGCGGTGGGAGAAGTCTGAATGTTGGTGGTTGACCGTAGCTTTGCGAAGCTTGCATGTTGTGGACGCATGGCTGCGTATCCTCAGCAGCCCACCATGCGTTGGGCACCTTGGCTTAGTGGTGTATGTCCACAGTGGTGGCGTCCCAGACGGACTGCGGGCAAGTTGAGTCATGCTCCTTGCACCGCGCTGGCTCCATATTCCTAGCCCTGTGGGCAGCTTGTTGCACACAAGGGCAAACCATGGAGGCATCATGTTGAGCAGATTGCGGTTTGCGGTGCTTGGGAGAAGTCTGAATGTTGGTGGTTGACCGCTGGCTTTGCGTAGCTTTGCGAAGCTTGGATGTTGTGGACGCATGGCTGCGTATCCTCAGCAGCCCACCATGTGTTGGGCACCTTGGCTTAGTGGTGTATGTCCACAGTGGTGGCGTCCCAGACGGACTGCGGGCAAGTTGAGTCATGCTCCTTGCACCGCGCTGGCTCCATATTCCTAGCCCTGTGGGCAGCTTGTTGCACACAAGGGCAAACCATGGAGGCATCATGTTGAGCAGATTGCGTTTGCGGTGCTTGGGAGAAGTCTGAATGTTGGTGGTTGACCGCTGGCTTTGCGTAGCTTTGCGAAGCTTGGATGTTGTGGACGCATGGCTGCGTATCCTCAGCAGCCCACCATGCATTGGGCAGCTTGCCCATCACCCGAAGGCATGGATCTTTTTGAAGGCATGGATGCATTTGCCTGGATCCCTATGCGGGTTGTCTTTTTGGAGAGCATTTTTTTCGACATTGTTGGCAAGGAACATCCGCCAAACACCCATCATTTCAGGGCTTCTTGTTTTTTAAAGAAAAAGCCACAAAAACAAAAAGGGCAGCGGTTTCGTTTTGGTTTCTCCTTAAACCTCCTAAAGGGTCCGAGCCTCAAGCACAAACAAAAATCACGCCCATCCCAGAGGGTCCAAGTACCGTCTGAGGATGGCTTTTGGGGGAAGAATCACACGAGAAAGATTGCAGGCGCCTTTGGTGCCCGTGCACCTCTTCCAGAAGCCCGAGCCAGGCCATCCAAGGGTTGGTTCGTCTGGTGTTTTTTTTGGTTTTTGTGTGCGTGGTTTAAGGAAGAGGAACACCAAACTGTTGGGTCCCCCGAAAAAATAATGGGAAACAAGCTCAGGTGATATCCCCAACAGCACGCGGTGCTCACAGAACCTCGTGGAAGCATCGTGGAACCCTTGTGGAAACCTGGTGGAACCCTCGTGGAACCTTACCTCAGGGCCGCCCCGGACCACCCCGGAGCCTATCTGGGCTGAGACCCCAAAGCTTTCAGCTGTTGGGGAAAAAACGGAACGCCCATTCATGTGTCATAGGCTCGGAGCGGCATAATTACTCATAGTTTACCCCTAGAATCATGTCTCTTGAAAGTAGATTATTTCCGGCCCTTTCGATAGAAAGCCATGGATTACTGGAATTCATGGATTGCAGTACTCGCTTCCCCAGGTGAGGATATGAAAGGATATTGATATGCCAGCTGTTTCGAACTGCAAAGGGAACTTCATTCACTCTCAATGCCAATGTCGATGCGCCCGCAAAGTGCTCAGCTAAAGTCTTTCTCAAAATTAACGATGTTGAGTCAACACACGGGTGTCATCGCGCGGGCCATGAGAGAGCTCTGAGGGATTGTTCAGGTTCAGACTGTCCCAAGGGGCACCGGAAAAAACGGGAAGCGTAAGCTGGCAGTTGTCGACACGAAGAACTCGCACCACTGTTGGCCCCTTTCCACACTGGCGATTTCGCAGCAAGTTCGAGACGTGTCAGAATGACTGTCCCCCTCTTTGCAAGCAACAGTTGCTCATTGACCCTTGGATACTCACTTATGCCCAAAGCGAATCGATCTTTCGACCTTCTGACCTTTTTGGGTTACCCGTGTTGGTCCATGTTTAGTCATGGCCTCAAAAGGTTAACTGTCTATGTCTGGGACAGGATGTGTTGAAGTCCTCGCCTTTGCTTGTTTAAGCCACCCGTCCAGGACCTTCTTATTTCATCATCGCCGGCTTGGTGTTCACTGCCGCTTGGTGGACATTGACTTGGAAACAACAGGGCTGCTCCGTTCTCCAAAGCGCTGTTTTATTGGGTAGACAAAAATATGAAACGGAATGACTTTCGGTTCATTTTCAGTGTCCTCCAGGCCCGTTTTAGTTAACCAAAGCCCCTTTTGGTACAAAACCTGTACCTTTGGCACTGATGTACCTTTGCGCCAACGTCCTACCCAACACAAGGGGACTTACTTGAATATTCTCCCCTTGGCCATGGATGAGGGTTTCAGTTGGAAACATACCCAGAGGGTCCAAGTACCTTCTAACGATGTACTTAGACCCCTTTTGACCCCCCAACGCCATCCTCAGAAGGTACTTGGACCCTCTGGGATTGAGGAGTTGTCCACCTAGGGGCCCCCCACCTAATGGATTTCGGTGTTGTCTTGCCCGCCCCGTCGCTACGGAGCCGTGCGCCACGAGGTGCTTTCCGAGCCCTTGCTGGAATCCGAGTTCGGCGCAGAGTGGGCCTCTTGGATGGAATCGAAGGTCTTGGTGGCCCCCAGCCACCCGGTTCCTCAGCTTTGTAGCTTTTAGGGTTTAGTGGGGTTTTCCATTTGACCCACGACCCACTATTTGTTTTTCTCTTTTAGAGGGGGATCTGACAGCCCAGTTGGTTTCCCCTCCAGGACGTAGGGGAAAGTGGAGGGGGTTTTAGTTTCACTCTCTGGCCCCCAGAAAGGCATTCGCAGTCAGTCGAATCTTTTCTACCTTGAACCATGGCTAAGATTGGCTTTACAATCCTCCGCAGCCCCATTCTAATGATTTCGACCTGTACATTATTTCAATGTGGGTGTGTCTTTTTTGGAGGGTCAGAACGATATCTTCTTTGGGTACAAATTTATGTGCCCCGGGGCTTTTGACTCGAGTACATGTTCAACCGGCCAGAGATTTGTCTGTCATTTTTCTCGGATTTAGTTTCGAATGGGTTTAACATTGCTTCAGTATGGATTTAGTGTTGCCTTGATACGGGTCTTGTATTGGTTTAGTTTCGTATTGCTCTAGTATTGGTTCCAGCATGTCCCCTGACTGGAGTTGGGGGCGGCGGGACATGTGCGGTCTTGGAATTGGTTTGTTGGCTCCTTCTCATTTGGCATATTTGAGGGGTCTGATCTATTTATCAATAGGGATGAGCTAACCCGGGGGGGAGCCGGGCCACTGGGGGAGTGACGCTTTTTTTGTTTTCCCCCATTTGATTCGTGGGGTGGTGAATGAGCCATGTCCACTGGATGATTTTTAGAGATCCGGCGGTGAAAAAGGCGAACTTTGCCCGGACCGAAATGGCCCGGCAGCGGCTGCCAGCGGCTGGCAAAGCGGCGAACGATGGTCCCTGAAACTTGGAGATCCAAGTGAAAGTCCAGCTACTTGGAATTGTGGTACTGGTAGAATTTGTTGGATCCCCAACCCAAAATTCGCGATATCTCCTAAGATCCTGAAGTGAATTCCCATGCTTTTGGTTTTAGTGGGTGGTTTTGGGGCCCAGGTAGCTTTTCCCTTTCACCTTTCGCTCGCGGTCCTTCTCCACGAAAACCAAGGGGCTGCTTGGGTGGGGCTGGCTGGCTCTGCATTTTTCTATCCCAGAGGGTCCCTTGGTACCTTCCGAGGATGGCTTTTGGGAAATCAAAAGGGGTTCAGTGCGTCCTTAGGTACCAGGGGACCCTCTGGGGCCAGTTGAAAGCCACGGCCCGTGATGGCCGCCTGATCTTGGTTGCGTTGGAAGGGGGGCAAAAATGAAAAAATAGCAGTTAAGTGGGGATTTCAACCACTAAACCACAATAACCAAAAATGCAAAATGTTTCCCAACAACAACCATGTGATGCGGCCTGATGGTTTTGCTTTACCCTCAGAGAATTGCATTTACGCAAGTCCTCTAGTTGGGTTGGGGGGTACAACTTCTTTTGACCTATACAACCCCTCTTTCTCACCGGGGACGAAATGTTGGGGGCCTTTCCGGTGGTTCTTTGTTTTTTTTTCTGGGTTTTCACCGGTGGCCGCAAGCCATAGAAAGCGGGTCCTTAAGTAATTTTTCTTCTGAGGATGTCCTGCACGACGACCCCCTTTGACCCCCCAAAAGCCATCCTTTGGAAAATGTTGGGGGGCTTTAAGCGACCTCCGTTCGGCTTTTTTTGACAGCCATTGAGGCCGTGGGAGCCTGGGGTAGAGGAAGTTTGGGCGGGTGACATAGACTTTTTTGGCCGTCGTTTTGGATGCTTTCATGGCTTTGGGGCAGCCTTTCAGCTGATGACTCGGGTGATATTTCAATATTATTTGTGTCTCATGTGATTTGTTCGGGCTCATCCGAGCAACACGGGCAAGAGACTGTTGCAAGGAGACGTCTATGAAACCAACCATTGGGAGGGGTCGTTGTTGCACATGCAGTGCCACTGCCTAGAAGGCTGCTGCACAATGCTGTGTGTGAGAGAGGTGTGAGTTCTGCCCCTGAACATGAGCACGATCTGGAAAAACCCGACAATGTCTGGGATCTGATTGTGAAGTTGTTATAGTTGTTGAGGCTCGTGATTTTGAGAGGGTCCAAGTACCTTCTAAGGATGCACTTAGACCCCCTTTTGACCCCACAAAAGCCATCCTCAGAAGGTACTTGGACCTTGTGGGATCTTTGGACCAGAGTCAAACATATTCTTACTGCGGGTTGGGGGCAGAAACCGAGGCCCTCCCCAATTCTAAGCCCTCCGCAACATTCACTCACCCCCCCCCCATTTCGGCTTGGTTATCCCCTTACCTGCATGAAGGTGTTTCCCACGTTGAAACTCCTTTATGCCCTGGGGCAAACCACCCCCCTATGGCTATCAAGCCATTTGTTCAGTGACCTTTGCCATGGGAGCCTGACAGTTGATCTACGCACAGTTGTCGGAGTCACTTCGAACGAAACCGGAACACGGAAACGGCGGCTCAGGAACACAAGGCCCCCATCGAGATGGTGAGGTCCGCCATTCAGGCGGAACTGGACTGGCCCAAACAAGTTGTCGAAGTGATTCGGCCAGGTTTCGTTCTGGGAACAGCAAGTTTGGACGGCGGGAAGGGAGACATGGTTCTGGGACTTTCTTCTGTGACACGATGAGAGCCCTTTTGGCGGCGAAAAAGTCGCAAGGCAGATTTCCACAACACAACACTCGGGTGTGGTCATTGCTGGAATAGATGGTCAAAATTCAACATAGTCCTTTGTGGCACCTCTAAAGGCGGAAGGGTCCAAAAAGAGGCCAAATGGGAGTTAAACTACGCTAGACATGGGCTCCGCTTCTATTTGTGGGGTCTTTCATGGGCTGATTTGGCCCAAGTCTGTCTGCTTAAGATTGTGTTGGTTCCTGAAGCACTCAGTAAGACACAGCAAGCAGGAGCGGAGAGCTACTCCCGGAGTATCTCGCCGCGATTGGTTTTGCCAGCCAAGAATCTCGCCGCTGGAAAAGAGTTTGCAAATATCTCGCCGCCTGGCTGCCCTGAATCTGAAATGCCTTGCCGGCTGTATCTCCAAAAATCCGTCCAGTGGGAACTCTGCAAAATGGTTGTGGTATCTCCGACTTTTCTCCTACTCACAACCTGCCCAGCCTGCTTTCACCTTGGCGGCATTTTGCATTTCGGCAATTCGGCGTAAGCAGGCAATAGCTTGACAAAGGAGAACCTGGAACGGCAGAAGTGACGCACCCCTCCCACAGAACACCCATCTCTCAGCAATGTTTCTTGCTGGTATTTTGGCTATTTTAAGAAACCAAGAGGAATCTACGCTAACCACTTTACGGGACGCCGATTTTGCAAAACACGCAATGTGGGTGTGTCTCATAAAATAGGGGAACCCTCCAAATACAAGGCTTCGGTTTCCTTTTGGGTTCCCTTTAAAAAACCGCCCGGAAAAAAAATAAGAAAAGGAAAATCAACACAACAAAGCAGAGACAAAAAAGAGAAAACAGAAAAGAAAAAAGAGGTCATATTCCACAGGCCCACGCGGAGTCCCGCGACCAGCAGCTGGTGATCCTGACTCAGGCGCTCGGAGACTCGTCCCGTCAGAGGTCAACCAGTGGATTCCATCCAGCGGGGGGGGGGGCGAAGGGTGTCCCCTTGAGAAACGGCCAACAGAAGGCAAGGCTTTTCCTTGTTTTGGGGAAGTTGTTTTTTTTTTTTGGGGGGGGGGGGGGGGGAAGTGTTTTTTTTTGGGGGCGGGAAGGTGTCCCTTTGAGAAGCAACCAACCGAAAGCAAGGCTTAGATGTTCCAACGGAACTGATGGGCCGTCATTCTCAGGGCCCCATGGTCCCCTCTTCAGGTCCGGCTGATGGCTGGTTAGATTTGTTGCACCCGCTGTTGCGAGTGGCAGGTTCAGCCCTTTTGTGTGATTGCTTGTTTGCAAAGCTGCTGCCGCACCAGAAGATAAACATCAACTCTTTGCCGATTTGCACACAGTGGTGAAGGACATATAATATGTGTATAGGTGCAAACATGTATGTGTATATATATATATATATGCGTATGAACATATATATATATATGGATGAACAACTGCATTTATTTACAGATGACTACAGTACAGTTTTTAAGGCCGGGCGGATGCATGTTTTGAGTAACATGCTGAATGAGGTGCAAACGAGGTAGGAACACCCCCAAAACAAGGTAGGGTCGTGACATATAGTCCAACCAGGTGCAACCAGGTGCAGGGTTGGAGAACGAGGTTGGAACACCCGACCATTCGACCATATATATATATATATATATATACATTGATGTATGCGCACACACGCGTGCTCTCTCTTTTTTTGCAGCATCAACCTAGGCAGAGGTTTCACACCTGTAATTGTTTTTGTGTTTTCTTGCACCGCGGGCCCATCGGTTTGATTGCAAAGCTTCATATTTTGGGAATCGCAGACTAGGGCATCGATTCTTTCAAGCACCCCAGATACCCCAGCTTATTTTCGGCCCTCGGGCGAGTCGGCTTTTGGGAGGCACGTTGGACTCCTGGCACCGTGACACTGTCAGTGTGTGTCATAGGAATTTTGGACTTTCAGGGTGGTGTCCTTCCTTTTGGTTCCCGGCACCAAGCAAATGGGAACCAACCAACCACCAATTTCGGGGGTCCATTTTGAGCAAGACCTGTATGGGTGTATATTTTATTGATGTGTTTTTAGAATTGGTACACTTTTCAATTTGGTTTTGAGGAACACCAGAAGGAACACCATTTGTTGGTCCCTGTTGTTTGACAACCCGTTTCAAAGCCCACTCGCTTAAAGGGGACGTTCGAGTGACTAAGGACCATGACCTTCCCGGCATCGCATGCTCAGTGAAATATTCACTAAGCTGTGTGAGTTGCGGCGGTTCGACAGCGTGTCACTGGTCGCTGACACTGCTTCAACCTCATAGACCTCTAAGCGATTCCGTGTGTGTGTGTGTGTGCGCTGCAGATCCCTGCGGGAAGCGCACCATGGAGGAGCAAGGAGCTCACCCCATCCAAGAGGTACCGATGCGAAGCCTTCAGGAACCGGTACCAATTCGGGACCCTTTGGCTTTGTTTTCTTTTGCTCCTTTAACAAAAACGCAATAACCAAGTCACAAGTAGCAATCACCAAATCACGAAGTCGAAGCTTGGGAGTGGGTCCTAGCGACCAACTCTCTGATGGGGTCTTCGGAGCAGCGCTGAGATGGTTGCAGAAGACGGGACTGGTTGCCAGTTGCTGGGATAAGGAGATCCTAAAGTGACAAAATAGCCATGGATGTTGGATGGGAATGAATCAACCACTTTTTGTTTATCAGGAAAGGTTATTGTCTTAAACCACGGCGTGTCGCCTTTTTTCCCTTGGCCAGGTTCTAGCGCACGAGCTGACCATGGGCGGCTTGGATTGATTGGAAGACTCTTTGGGCTGTGGTGCAGTTCTGGGGTCTGTTCGAAAGCTAAATTATGTATCTACACATACATGTATGTATATGTATGTGTATATATATATATATGTGTATGGGTAGACTAACTATAAACCAGAATCAATCAATATGTTATTTTCTGCGTTCCCCTTTGTTTTTATCAGACGTGAGCCAAGATATGAAGTGGCCACAACCCCAAAGGCCCTTTTGGGCGGTTCCAGGAAGCCCACGACAGGTTAAACCGACCATGGGAGCAAACCAGAATATGTGTCCCGCGATACGGATGAACAACATCTTTTTCGCACCAAGGATGGAAGAGCCCCGATTTGAATACGGGGATGATTTACCTACCGGGTGCAGGGTTTGTCCATCCACAGCATTTGCCCTAAAACGTTGTTTCAACTATGAACCTTTTAGGCTCTTGCGGTGATATTCAAAGGGGGCGCAGCCCCGTTGGAGTCCCGAAATTGGCTGACCAGATTTTTCGTGGGGTCTTCGACTCGGCAGTCAGTGGAAGCTATCAGTTGAGTACCTCAAAACAAAGAAGCGTAGTCTATATATATATATATATTTATGTGTTTAGTTTATTTAGTTCTATTTAGTTAGAGTTTTTTTTTTTCTTAAGAGAAAACACATATACACACACATACACACACACACACTAATTTGCCATGGGTGTCTCAAAAGTTGCATCGGGCGCCCAAACCTGGACACTCAAATGGCACCCGTCAGCTTTTTCGCCGGCACAGCTATGAGGTCTCTTGGCCAATGGGTTGGGTGTCCGGCGTTCCTTCAGGTTTCAGCTTGCGGTTCAGGGGCTAAAAAAACATCTTGGGATGCGGTTCAGTTTGATTCACCAACAGGTTCTTTCCGCCATGGGTCCCTCTCAAAGCCTGGGTGTGTAAATCGAGTCCTAGTCGGCCCCGTTTGGTCCTAGAGAGATCCTTGGTAGTGCTAGTTTGGTCAAATAGCCAGAACTTATGAAGGCACGTATAGAGGAAATCAACTTGAAATTCAATTACTCTGAGAGCTAGTTAAGACAGTCTAGTCCGACTTTGGTCCTACTTGAGAAATTCTTCGTGTCCTAGATGGGCAAATGATGAACTGGAGGGGAACTCGATGGTCCCTTGCGGGGGGGGGGGGGGGCGGGGGGTATACAAATATATATATAGATATATATATATATATATAGATATACACATATGTATATACATTATGTACATATACATACATACATACATACATACATACATACATACATACATACATACATACATACATACATACATACATACATACATACATACATACATACATACATACATACATACATACATACATACATACATACATACATGCATATACATATACATCTACATATACACATACACATACATATACATATGCATATGCATATACATGCGTGTGCATGCATACATGCGTGACCGTACATGCGTACATGCATGTCGTGCGTATGCATGCATGTCATGTCCCCACATGTCATCCCACATACCATGCATATAAACCGTATAAATACAAATAATACATAATACATCATTAATAAATAAATATATCATCGTATCGTATATAAATACGTACGGGTGTCCTATCACGTCGTACGTATGCGTACGTGCATGCGTACGTAAATACGTAAATACATACGTATGCAGCTGTCATTGTCGTACATGCATGCAGTAAGTAAACCATGCATGCATGCATACGTGTCGTACCGTATGCAGCATCGTAATACGTGTAAATGTATGTGTGTGTCGTATTACGTGTGCATATCATCGTACGTACGTAAATACATGCATATCGTAATGCATGTAAAATATGCGTATGGATAATAATAACTGGCAATATGTATTGACAATGTTAAGTGTCCCTGAACACGTGTACGTACACGCCCGACTGATTCCGACACTGCCGCGTGGTTTTGCGGCCTTGAGACCCGTGGGAGGTTACGAGAATTTGGAGAACATGCAGCTGGCGGCGGTGGGCGACGTGGCGGTGAGGAACTTGCGCCATGCCATGGAGCTGGCGGAAGCCTGCGCCGGGCGATGGGCTGAGGGGGTGGGTGGGAGGTTGGGCGGGGTTGGGTGGGGGGGGTTGGGGGGTTGGGGGGTTGGGGGGGGGGGGTGAGGTTGGGGAAGGGGTTGGGGGGGGGGAGGGGCGGGAGGTGGAGGGAGGTGGGCGGAGGTGGCGGGAGAGGGAGATGGGGGAGGAGCAAAACCTGTACCCTGAAATTCCTGGAAGAAGTCCAGGAGTGTCCTTCTGCTGTTCTCTTGCTGTGACTATGGCCGCCTCCTTCTACACACCAGAAATTCGGCTCCAGGTCCCGACGGAATACCCTATGCATTGCGTGCTTATCCTTCCATCAGGGGGAGCCAAAGATTTGGGGGCTTGGGGATGTTGGGGTTTGGTTTGGTTTGGTTTGGTTTGGGGTTTGGTTTGGGGTTTGGTTTGGGGATGTTGGGGTTTGGGGTTTGGGGTTTGGTTTGGGTTTGGTTTGGGTTGGTTTGGTTGGCTTGCCTTCACGGGTTTCCGTGTGTCGGGAACCCCCGCGCTGTAGGCCATACTTGCGCTTCAACCTGCAGCAGAACCAGGTGAGCGATGTTCCGCCCGAAAAAATCGCAAAAAATGGTCATGCCAGTGGCTGGTTCTAGGTGTGGCGGTAAGGCCTACATCAACCTGAAGCATCATCAAAGGGTCTTGGTCGCTGCTCAGTTGTAAAGCATCTTACTACCAAAAGTCAATGGGTCTTGGTCGCTGCTCAGTTTGTAAAGTCTGGCGCACACGAGGCATCTGGCAGATCCTGCTTCAAGGATTCGTTGTGTGAGGAACTGACCAGTTGGAAGCAACTTTGGGAACCACTCTTCTTCTTTAGCGCACCTCTTGCCAGCAGCCTTGCTTGTTGCTGATAAATGCCAATAGGTCACATGGTGGTTCGAAGCTTTTTCTGCCCTCACTTTTGCTTTTGCAAGCCATGTTTGCTCCTTCTCCTTGTCTGCCTGAGTAGGCAACATTCCACCTTCTCACTTCATGTACCCTGTTGGCGTTAGCATCCACCATGCAGCAAGTCAGGATGTTCACGCTTGACTTGATCGAACACTTTTTGTTTGCAGCAAGTGGTTATATATTCGCGTTTGACATGAGCACATTGTTGATTGAACCCACCATGCAACAAATTGTGCTGTGCACGGTTGACTGAGCACACGGTTGGTTGAATCCAACATGCAGCGAATCATTGCGTGTACGTTTCCCTCGCAATCTTTTGGCAAGAGAGCAACTCCTGCACGGGAAGAACTTGCTCCCGAAGAAGGTGGCTGCACTGAAATGCTGGGAGATTCCCCTGCAGCCAACCCCTTCAAAACACCCAGCCAACATGTAGCGGAGCATGTTTCATGACCTAGCAAGGAGCACCTTGCAGTGTGTGGGTAGGCTCTCGCAAGTCGGCAGAAGGACATGTGGCAAGTCGACAGAGCTTTCAGTCAATAGTCCTTTCTAGAAGGGCCAGGCCGGATCATCGGAGGCCCCTGGTTGATACATGTTGACGACATTCAAAGCATTACCCTTTCCACTACACAGGTGGGTTCTGTTCAGGTGGGTTCTGTTCAGGTGGGTTCTGTTCAGGTGGATAGAAGACGAAAGGGTACAAGAAACTGAGGTTCTTCCATTTTCTATCAGAGCTGTACGCTCGCAAGAGCTCCTGGGCAATGCATGAAATATACATTGCGACATGTGCAACACAACGTTTACCTGTTGGACCGGAGTTAGTAAAGTTGGATTCGCCCATGTCAAGCATCTGGGCAGTGGATATCCGGCTATCGTTGGTTGGGCCAAACCATCGCCTTCGTTGGCTGTTCCATGGAACCCACCGAAACGGTTTTTGAAGATGGTCCAAACCAGGACCTTGCGAGGTTCCACGAGGCAGCCCATTTTCCTTTTTCAGATTCTCAGGTTTTTTCAGATCAATCCAGTCCGGTCAGCCAACAGGAAATCAGCCACCTTTGTTCAGCTGTCAGGTTGACATGGTTGTTGTTGGGAAACATTTTACATTTTTGGTTTTGTGGTTTAGTGGGAAATCCCCACTTAACTGCTAGAATTATTTTTTTGCTCCCCTTCCAACGCCAACCAAGTTGAGGGCTTTTCAGATTCTCAACCCAGTTCTTCTCCAAACCCTCAGAAATATTTCCTCAAAATCTTCGCCAAAAACCCGTGCCTCGTCATGCCCCCCTCGCAACCGGGCGCGCCGGTCGGACGTCCCGGGCCCGGCCAGGTGCTCATCCTGCGTGCAGAGGAGGCACGGAAAGCGACGCCAGAGGTGCTGGAGAAGCAGCCCAGCTTCGATTGGAGGGAGACCTGTGGGCTTCACCGGTCAGAGACATCTTGCGTTTCTTCGGGTGTTCAAGAACCAAAGAATTTGGGCTTCCCATACCCAAAAAGTCCCTTGGTACGTTCTGAGGATGGCTTTTTGGGGGTGAAAAGGGGTCGAAGTGCATCCTTAGGTACTTGGACTCTCTGGGCTTGGCATATTTTTTGTTTGTTTTTGTTTTTGTTGGTTCTGTTCATTTTTAGTCTGGGGGCTGCAAGAGACATGTTTTTCTTGCTACCATACCAAGGGTTGTGAAGATGGGGGGGGTCCTTATGTATCGCTTTCATTTGCTTAAGAATAGGGCTAAAGGTTTACTGTTGGTTTAAAGGGAATCTATCACTGGAGATGTGTTTTTTCTTTTGTCCAGGGGACTTGAGGGAATGGTTGTTCTTTATTTTGGGTGGGTCAATTTGGCCCAATTGAATTGATGAACTAGTCATCGGGATGGCCGTTTTGATGTTGCAGAAAGGGACATTTCCCACAACCGTGTTCATGAACGTTCATCACAAATGTGATGGTGAAACCCTGCTGTCTCAATTCCCACTTAAAGAGGCTCCCTGACCACCACCATGTATGTGGTTCTCTTTATATAGGTTTAAGTTTGAACATGTTTCATAGTTGTTTAAGTTCCCTATGGAAAGGGTCCAGGACCATCCCGAACGAAGCAAACATGTGTACCCCAGGACCAAGCAGCCTGTCCAACATTTTGATTCAGCCTCAACCTTCAAGGCCTTTTGGGCCTTTGCGGTGCCTAAGGGCCTTAAGGGCTGGTCCTGGCACTTTCTCCGACCCGCGTGGCCCTTTGGGAGTCTTTGCGTACCCAGAAAAACAAGAACAACTTTCGGGATGGCACCGGTCAGCGCCATTGGGGAGCTTCCGGAACCCTATCCAGACGCTGCAATGGAACTTTGGCCAAAGAAATCAGCAACCGCAGACCCCGGAGCAGTTTGACCCCTCGGGCCCAATTTTGAGCCCTTTTTGCTTTCAGCAAGGGAAGAAGGACTTGAGGGACAACAGGACAGGGCAACACCAAGTCATGCGAGTTTGGGAGGATTTCCATTGATCTATGGGCCACAGCTCACTCTGAGGCATGGAATCCCTCACGCCAAGAGCCCCGACCTGCGATGAGGCTGGGGTGGGCGTTTTGGGCAGGTTGAGACTTGCGACTTACTAATGGGACCCTGGCGACTGGCGCCCTTCGACTCGTTGGGTTTAACCACCCCCTGCACGTTTTGTGACCTTAGATATATGGCCCAGTAGGGCCATGAAAATATAGCAATCCCCCCACAAAAACGTGGGCAAAGGCATGTCAAAGGAAGAATCGCCAAACAGCTTCAACTGAGATGATGACAGAGACACCTTGGTCCGTGTTCCAGAGCTTCCGGGCCTTGATGGTAAATGTGTTTCAAGACGGGACTGACCAGCTGCATTTGCGGGGAACAGAGGCAATGGTTGAATGTGGTTGTTTGCTTGGTTGTTGCAGGGCTTTGAACACAGTTCGCAAGGGCCTGTGCAAGGCCGGCGAGCAAATGAGATGATGACAGAGACAACGTTGGTCGTGTTCCTAGAGCTTCTGCGGCCTTGATGGTAAGTGTTTCAAGACGGGATCTGACAGCTGCATTTGCGGGGAATCAGAGGAATGGTTGAATGTGGTTGTTTTGCTTGGTTGTGCAGTGCTTGGACAGTCGCAAGGGCCGGCTGTCAAGGCGAGCAACTGAGATGATGACAGAGACACCTCTGGTCCGTGTTCCGAGCTTCCGGGGCCTTGATGGTAAATGTGTTTCAAGTACGTGGACTGACCAGCTGCATGGGAGGGGAACAGAGGCAAAGGACTTGAACGCTGGTTGTTTGCTTGGTTGTGCGGGTTTGGACAGTGCATAGGCCGGCGCAAGGCGATGCAACTGAGTGATGACAGAGACACTTGGTCCGTTGTTCCAGAGCTTCCGGGCCTTTGATGGTAATTGGTTTCAGGACGGGACTGACCAGCGCCTGCATTTGCCGGGGAACAGAGGCAATGTTTTATATGTGGTGGGATTGTTTGTCTTGGTTGATGCAGGGCTTGGACAGTCGCATGGGCCGCTGCAAGGCGCGCAAATCTGAGATGATGCAGGACTCTTGGTCCGCTGTTCCAGAGCTTCCGGGCCTGATGGTAAATGTGTTTCAAGACGGGAATGTCCAGCGTGCATTGCGGGGAACAGAGGCAATGGTTGATTGTGGTTGTTGTTTGCTTGGTTGTGCATGGCTTGGACGTCGCAAGGGCCAGGCTGCAAGGCGAGAACTGAGATTGAGATGACAGCGACACCTTGGTTCCGTGTTCCAGGAGCTTCCGGGCCTTGATGGTAAATGTTTATTGTTTCAAGACGGAATCTGACCAGCTGCATTTGCGTTGGGGAAACAGAGGCAATGTTGAATGTGGTTGTTTGCCTTGGTTGTCAGTTGGCTTGGACAGTCGCAAGGGCCGGCTGCAAGGCGAGCAACTGAGATGATGAAAGAGACACCTATGGTCCGTGTTCCAGAGCTTCCGGGCTTGATGGTAAATGTGTTTGAAGACGGGACTGACCAGCGCATTTGCGTTGGGTAATACAGAGGCAAATGGTTGAATGTGTTTGTTTTGTTGGTTGTACAGGGCTTGCACAGTCGCAGGGCTGAGGGCTGCAAGGCGAGCAACTGAGATGATGATAGAGAGACCTTGGTCCGTGTTCCAGAGCTTCCGGGCCTTGATGGTAAATGTGTTTCAAGACGGGACTGACCAGCTGCATTTGCGGGGAACAGAGGCAATGGTTGAATGTGGTTGTTTGCTTGGTTGTGCAGGGCTTGGACAGTCGCAAGGGGCTGCAAGGCGAGCAACTGAGATGATGACAGAGACACCTTGGTCCGTGTTCCAGAGCTTCCGGGCCTTGATGGTAAATGTGTTTCAAGACGGGACTGACCAGCTGCATTTGCGGGTAACAGAGGCAATGGTTGAATGTGTTTGTTTTGTTGGTTGTACAGGGCTTGCACAGTCGCAGGGCTGAGGGCTGCAAGGCGAGCAACTGAGATGATGATAGAGAGACCTTGGTCCGTGTTCCAGAGCTTCCGGGCCTTGATGGTAAATGTGTTTCAAGACGGGACTGACCAGCTGCATTTGCGGGGAACAGAGGCAATGGTTGAATGTGGTTGTTTGCTTGGTTGTGCAGGGCTTGGACAGTCGCAAGGGGCTGCAAGGCGAGCAACTGAGATGATGACAGAGACACCTTGGTCCGTGTTCCAGAGCTTCCGGGCCTTGATGGTAAATGTGTTTCAAGACGGGACTGACCAGCTGCATTTGCAGGGAACAGAGGTTGAATGTGGTTGTTTGCTTGGTTTTGCAGGCTTGGACAGTCGCAGGGCTGAGGGCTGCAAGGCGAGCAACTGACATGATGACAGAGACACCTTGGTCCGTGTTCCAGAGCTTCCGGGCCTTGATGGTAAATGTGTTTCAAGACGGGACTGACCAGCTGCATTTGCGGGGAACAGAGGCAATGGTTGAACGTGGTTGTTTGCTTGGTTGTGCAGGCTTGGACACTCGGCAGGGCTGAGGGCTGCAGGGCGAGCAACTGAGATGATGACAGAGACACCTTGGTCCGTGTTCCAGAGCTTCCGGGCCTTGATGGTAAATGTGTTTCAAGACAGGACTGACCAGCTGCATTTGCAGGGAACAGAGGCAGTAGTTGAATGTGGTTGTTGCTTGGTTGTGCAGGGCCAGGACAGTCGCAAGGAGTGCAAGGCGAGCAGCTGAGATGATGACAGAGACACCTTGGTCCGTGTTCCAGAGCTTCGGGGCCTTGTTCAGTTTCAGTTGCCCTGCTCAAGATGGACCGAGAAAGCTGCATTTGTTGGGAACAAGAGAGGCAATGGTTGAATGTGGTTGTTTGCTTGGTTATTGCAGGACTTGGACAGTCGGAATGCTGGCTGCAAGGCGAGGCAACTGAGATGATGACAGAGACACCTTGGTCCGTGTTCCAGAGCTTCTGGGCCTTGATGGTAAATGTGTTTCAAGACGGGACTGACCAGCTGCATTTGCGAGGAACAGAGGCAATGGTTGAATGTGGTTGTTGCTTGGTTGTGCAGGGCTTGGACAGTCGCAAGGGCTGGCTACAAGGCGAGCAACTGAGATGATGACAGAGACACCTTGGTCCGTGTTCCAGAGCTTCTGGGCCTTGATGGTAAATGTGTTTCAAGACGGGACTGACCAGCTGCATTTGCGGGGAACAGAGGCAATGGTTGAATGTGGTTGTTTGCTTGGTTGTGCAGGGCTTGGACAGTCGCAAGGGGCTGCAAGGCGAGCAACTGAGATGATGACAGAGACACCTTGGTCCGTGTTCCAGAGCTTCGGGCCTTGATGGTAAATGTGTTTCAAGACAGGACTGACCAGCTGCATTTTCGGGGAACAGAAGAGGCAATGGTTGAATGTAGTTTGTTGCTTGGTTGTGCAGAGGCTTGGACAGTCACGCAGACCGGCTGCAAGGCCAAGAGCAACTGAGATGATGACAGAGACACCTTGGTCCGTGTTCCAGAGCTTCCGGGCCTTGATGGTAAATGTGTTTCAAGACGGGACTGACCAGCTGCATTTGTGGGGAACAGAGGCAATGGTTGAATGTGGTTGTTTGCTTGGTTGTGCAGGGCTTGGACAGTCGCAAGGGCCGGCTGCAAGGCGAGCAACTGAGATGATGACAGAGACACCTTGGTCCGTGTTCCAGAGCTTCCGGGCCTTGATGGTAAATGTGTTTCAAGACGGGACTGACCAGCTGCATTTGCGGGGAACAGAGGCAATGGTTGAATGTGGTTGTTTGCTTGGTTGTGCAGGGCTTGGACAGTCGCAAGGGCCGGCTGCAAGGCGAGCAACTGAGATGATGACAGAGACACCTTGGTCCGTGTTCCAGAGCTTCCGGGCCTTGATGGTAAATGTGTTTCAAGACGGGACTGACCAGCTGCATTTGCGGGGAACAGAGGCAATGGTTGAATGTGGTTGTTTGCTTGGTTGTGCAGGGCTTGGACAGTCGCAAGGGCCGGCTGCAAGGCGAGCAACTGAGATGATGACAGAGACACCTTGGTCCGTGTTCCAGAGCTTCCGGGCCTTGATGGTAAATGTGTTTCAAGACGGGACTGACCAGCTGCATTTGTGGGGAACAGAGGCAATGGTTGAATGTGGTTGTTTGCTTGGTTGTGCAGGACTTGGACAGTCGGAAGGCTGGCTGCAAGGCGAGCAACTGAGATGATGATAGAGACACCTTGGTCCGTGTTCCAGAGCTTCCGGGCCTTGATGGTAAATGTGTTTCAAGACGGGACTGACCAGCTGCATTTGCGGGGAACAGAGGCAATGGTTGAATGTGGTTGTTTGCTTGGTTGTGCAGGGCTTGGACAGTCGGAAGGGCTGGCTGCAAGGCGAGCAACTGAGATGATAGAGACACCTTGGTCCGTGTTCCAGAGCTTCCGGGCCTTGATGGTAAATGTGTTTCAAGACGGGACTGACCAGCTGCATTTGCGGGGAACAGAGGCAATGGTTGAATGTGGTTGTTTGCTTGGTTGTGCAGGGCTTGGACAGTCGCAAGGCCCGGCTGCAAGGCGAGCAACTGAGATGATGACAGAGACACCTTGGTCCGTGTTCCAGAGCTTCCGGGCCTTGATGGTAAATGTGTTTCAAGACGGGACTGACCAGCTGCATTTGCGGTAACAGAGGCAAAGGTTGAACGTGGTTGTTTGCTTGGTTGTGCAGGGCTTGGACAGTCAGAAGGGCTGGCTGCAAGACGAGCCACTGAGATGATGACAGAGACACCTTGGTCCGTGTTCCAGAGCTTCCGGGCCTTGATGGTAAATGTGTTTCAAGACGGGACTGACCAGCTGCATTTGCGGGGAACAGAGGCAATGGTTGAATGTGGTTGTTTGCTTGGTTGTGCAGGGCTTGGATGGTCCGTGTTCCAGAGCTTCCGGGCCTTGATGGTACATGTGTTTCAAGACGGGACTGACCAGCTGCATTTGCGGGGAACAGAGGCAATGGTTGAATGTGGTTGTTTGCTTGGTTGTGCAGGGCTTGGACAGTCGGAAGGGCTGGCTGCAAGGCGAGCAACTGAGATGATGACAGAGACACCTTGGTCCGTGTTCCAGAGCTTCCGGGCCTTGATGGTAAATGTGTTTCAAGACGGAACTGACCAGCTGCATTTGCGGGGAACAGAGAATGCGGTTGTTCGCTTGGTTGTGCAGGGCTTGGACAGTCGGAAGGGCTGGCTGCAAGGTGAGCAACTGAGATGATGACAGAGACACCTTGGTCCGTGTTCCAGAGCTTCCGGGCCTTGATGGTAAATGTGTTTCAAGACGGGGCTGACCAGCTGCGTTTGCGGGCAACAGAGGCAATGGTTGAATGTGGTTGTTTGCTTGGTTGTGAAGGGCTTGGACAGTCGGAAGGCTGGCTGCAAGGCGAGCAACTGAGATGATGACAGAGACACCTTGGTCCGTGTTCCAGAGCTTCTGGGCCTTGATGGTGAATGTGTTTCAAGACGGGACTGACCAGCTGCATTTGCAGGGAACAGAGGCAATGGTTGAATGTGGTTGTTTGCTTGGTTGTGCAGGGCTTGGACAGTCGCAAGGGCCGGCTGCAAGGCGAGCAACTGAGATGATGACAGAGACACCTTGGTCCGTGTTCCAGAGCTTCCGGGCCTTGATGGTAAATGTGTTTCAAGACGGGGCTGACCAGCTGCGTTTGCGGGCAACAGAGGCAATGGTTGAATGTGGTTGTTTGCTTGGTTGTGAAGGGCTTGGACAGTCGGAAGGCTGGCTGCAAGGCGAGCAACTGAGATGATGACAGAGACACCTTGGTCCGTGTTCCAGAGCTTCTGGGCCTTGATGGTGAATGTGTTTCAAGACGGGACTGACCAGCTGCATTTGCAGGGAACAGAGGCAATGGTTGAATGTGGTTGTTTGCTTGGTTGTGCAGGGCTTGGACAGTCGCAGGGCTGAGGGCTGCAAGGCGAGCAACTGACATGATGACAGAGACACCTTGGTCCGTGTTCCAGAGCTTCCGGGCCTTGATGGTAAATGTGTTTCAAGACGGGACTGACCAGCTGCATTTGCGGGTAACAGAGGCAATGGTTGAATGTGTTTGTTTTGTTGGTTGTACAGGGCTTGCACAGTCGCAGGGCTGAGGGCTGCAAGGCGAGCAACTGAGATGATGATAGAGAGACCTTGGTCCGTGTTCCAGAGCTTCCGGGCCTTGATGGTAAATGTGTTTCAAGACGGGACTGACCAGCTGCATTTGCGGGGAACAGAGGCAATGGTTGAATGTGTTTGTTTTGTTGGTTGTACAGGGCTTGGACAGTCGCAGGGCTGAGGGCTGCAAGGCGAGCAACTGACATGATGACAGAGACACCTTGGTCCGTGTTCCAGAGCTTCCGGGCCTTGATGGTAAATGTGTTTCAAGACGGGACTGACCAGCTGCATTTGCGGGGAACAGAGGCAATGGTTGAACGTGGTTGTTTGCTTGGTTGTGCAGGCTTGGACACTCGGCAGGGCTGAGGGCTGCAGGGCGAGCAACTGAGATGATGACAGAGACACCTTGGTCCGTGTTCCAGAGCTTCCGGGCCTTGATGGTAAATGTGTTTCAAGACAGGACTGACCAGCTGCATTTGCGGTAACAGAGGCAATGGTTGTACAGGGCTTGGACAGTCGCGGGGCTGAGGGCAGCAAGGCGAGCAACTGAGATGATGATAGATACACCTTGGTCCGTGTTCCAGAGCTTCCGGGCCTTGATGGTAAATGTGTTTCAAGACGGGACTGAGCAGCTGCATTTGTGGGGAGCAGAGGCAATGCTTTCATGTGATTGCTTGCTTGGTTGTGCAGGGCTTGGACAGTCGGAAGGGCTGAGGGCTGCAGGGCGAGCAACTGAGATGATGACAGAGACACCTTGGTCCGTGTTCCAGAGCTTCCGGGCCTTGATGGTAATTATGTTTCAACACGGGGCTGACCTGCTGCATTTGCTGGGGCAAAGGGAACTGTTGCAATACTGTTCTACTCTTTGTAGCGCTACGACAATTGCGAGGTCCAACCGGCCTTCCTTCAGCACAACTTGATACCCTGGGACTTTGCAGAGCGCCTTTTCTTGCTGCAGGATTTGGCGCCACATGACATTGCCAGGAATCAAACACAAGACCCACTGGGGCTTCCTCGTTTCAGCTTGGTGAGTCATGGCATATCATTTGGCTGGTTTCTATGTGTCCGATTCGTCTCCGTTCCCTGAGTCAGCTGACTTTCATGTATTGTGCGGCTAGAATCGCCAGTTCCATTTTCATGGTTTTGTAGACCAAGGGAACCACTGATTAAACAAAAAAAAAGCTGGTTGGCTGCTCTGGTAACTGAGATTCACTTGGTGCACAAACCATCGTACCCCGCGTCGGCCCTCGGTTTCAGTTGCTTAGGCCCACGGAGCGTGCGGCTTTCGGTCGAGGGAAAAGATGGCGGACTCGGGCGAGCAGAGAGCGTCTATGCCGGAAGTTGTTGTTTGAATCACAAGGCTTTTCAGTGGCTAGGGCCACTTTGATTCCGTGGCAAGCCATTGTTGATTGGTATGTGCAGGGAATCGTCAGAACTCAGGGTTTCTTAGGTGGCGCAAAATGGATTTTCGTCCATCCACAGTATGTTTCCTCTTGGCTTTAAACCTCGCCGTTTGGGCCAGATTTCAAAGGGGAAATCGACGCCCGCCTCTGAGTGTTGCCAGCTTCCCCACTCCCGGGCAGTAAGTTTTTTCGTGACTTGCCATGACCGGATGAGATCAGAGTGGGAACCAAGTTGCGACATTCACACTTGACTGCTATTGGGTTGGATCTTTAGACTTCAACTTTTTGGGGAATGAAGGGGTTTTCCACTAAACCCACAAAAAGAAGTGCAGAGGGGTCAACAACCACAAAGCACAGGACGAAAAGCGGCCAGGGTGACCCTGAGGCCCTGAGAAGGAAGGGCTTCTTGAGAAGACCTTGGCTTTGGTTTCGGAGGGTGCAGGGGTGTTCTCAATGAATCCTTCCGTTTCCCTTGTGCTGTCCCAACCGATTGGAGCTTCCCGAATAGGGATCAGGGATCTTCCTTGGAACCACTCAGACAAGAAGGCGTGATGTTCAGATCCCATGCGAGTTTTCTTGCTGCTTCGATAGGCAGGGAATGAGGGAGTGACCCCTATCAACCATCCCCCATATCCTTTAAGGGCATCCCTAGGTTCATTCCCAAACCCTGGGTCAGGCCCTGCCTAGGCTTTGAGGCCCAAGCCTGCGAGCTTACCTCACGCTGCCCCGGAGGAGTCGTGCGCGCAAACATCAGCACAGTGGCCTGAATTTGGCCCACGTAGCCAAGGGTTGAAGAACATATGTATATATATATATATACACTTCATCCCAGCTGATCGCCCGTGTGAGCACAGCGCTCTTACAAGCGCGAACTTAGCTGTTGGGCCTAGTCAAACACCTAGACGGGATGAGAAACACCTAGAATTGAGCTTCAATCTCCAGGATCTTCCCGAACAAAACATGTATATTGTTGGAGGTTGCCCAAGTTCATGAAGCAGCTCCCGACTTCAGTACTCAGAGCTCCTTGGGCGAATCGTAATCGCCCCATCCCGCTCCCAGCTGGAGCCGTCCGACACTCCCGCGATGGAGAAGTGCGACCTCACCATCTGCCGCGACTCCACGGGCAGTGCGCAGACCGTGACGCTGAGGGCCGGCGGAGTGCTGCGCATCGGTCGGGGTGTAGCGAACGAGCCTCGGAGAAAGCGAGGGAAGTCATAGGCCCCGCGATCGGTGCCCGACCTCTCAGCCCTTTTAAAGGGTTCCCCTAAAACAGACGTCCTGAAAAAAGTTGGTACCCTTATTCTAAGCTCTCTACTGGAGGACCTAGCCATGGCCCTTAAAAGATAACCTGGAAAGTGTCAGTTTCAATGGACACCACATGTAAATTGATCAACTTATGTTTTGGGAAATCCAGTGACCACCGATGAAGCGCATGTCGGATTTCCCTCATTTATGTATCAAACAAGTAACTCTCCAGGTCCTTTTTTCCGTGCCTTTCAATTCCCAATTTTGGGCTCACTCCCTGATTTCACGGACGTTAAAGTTTTTTTGCAAGACCGTTCAGACATTGTTTGGCCCATGCACTCAGGAAGTGAAGTTTGTATTTCTGAATATGGGGTCCCGACTAAAAACTGTTAACTCGCAAAAGAGCCAACCCAGTTTCTACCAGGGTCGCTGGGCTTTGTCGATGCGAGGCATTGGACACATGGCCTCCCTGCCAATCATTTGGCATCGCAAAGATTCGAGCACTCATGTGCTTGTTTCTGTTGCGGGTCGTGTTTTTCGCTTACCTCGAGATGATAACTGACTTGTGAAGGTATCAGCCAAGAGGTAACTCTTTGCCAGAGTCTACAGGGCGTCTACAATCCGTCCCTCGGCTTTTGGCCTATCCTGCGAAGATGTGTTTGGGCACGGTATGCGCCGGGTCTCAGGACATTGTTCTAGACTTCGACGGGGTGTCCGTGTACCATGCAGAGATCCACTTGCCCAAGGAGTGTCCCTACAGGGGGTTGATGTGGGCACATCTGAAGAACATCTCCGATGCCTCTGATGGTGATGGTGGTGAGGATGACGATGTAGTAGTAGTGGTGGTGTTGGTGGTGGTGGTGGTGGTGGTAGTGGTGGTGGTGGTGGTAGTGGTGGTGGTGGTGGTAGTGGTAGTAGGAGTACTAGTAATTAGTAGTAGTAGTAGTAGTAGTAGTAGTAGTAGTAGTAGTAGTAGTAGTAGTAGTAGTAGTAGTAGTAGTGGTAGTGGTAGTAGTAGTAGCAGTAGCAGTAGCAGCAGCAGTAGCAGTAGCAGCAGCAGTAGGAGGTGTGAACAACAGCGCCGCAGCCGCAACGGCAACTGCAACCACAGCAGCAACAGCAACCACGACGACAACAACAATTGCAATCGCAACCACAGCCACAGCCACAACCACAACAAGAACAACGCAGCAAAACGGCAACAGCAACCAGCAACACCAACAACAACACCAACAACAACACCAACAACATCAACAACATCATGATCATCACCAACACCAACAGCAACAGCAACAGCAAGAGCAACAGCTGCAGCAAACACAGCACTACCAGCAACAACCCTTGGACGCCGCACAGACGCGCCACCTTCAGCCCTTTTAGATTTGGAAATGGAGGAGCTGCGCTTTTCCATACAGGCTGCCATGGCACATGCTTGGCTTTCAGCAGGCGACATGAGCAAAAGGGAAGTAGGGCTGACTGGCTGGCTGGCTTGCTGCCGGCTTGCTTGCTCATTTCACACACTGTGGTTGGACAAAAGTATGCACCGGTTCGTGGCTTCATCCCCAGGAATTGATGGTCCGCAAAGGGTTGGTTTCCTTTCGGGCCGCTTCAATCACCAAAAGGGCAGCCTTCATTACATAGTTTCGGCGAAACACTCGACAGCGAGGACACTTTTTGCATGGTTTGGAGGGTGTTCCGCTTTAAACACCAGGATGAACAGGTTGAGCGCCAGGATGTGGGAGTTCATCCAAGTGGTGAATCCCCTATTTTGGTAGTTGAAGGGACTCGAAAGGCAACCAACCCTTTGCGGACCATAAATGCCTCTGGATAAAGCCACCAAAACCGGTGCATAATTTTGCCCAACCACTGTGTGTGAAATGAGCAAGCAAGCCGGCAGCAAGCCAGCAGCAAGCCAGCCAGCCAGCGGAGTGACAGCATAGGTTGAACAGACCTATGTTCAGACCTATGTTCAGAAAGCAACAAGCAAAGCCAAACACGGGAATTCGGAAGTTCTCAAATCACGTGAATGGCGCAACATTGCGCAGGGAAGTGAGGGTTTTGAAGGCGCTTGCTCGCTGGCCTTGCTTTGTTTGCGACTTCAAAGTGGCTCCCCGCCCATTTGGAAGTGCGTTGTCCAGAAAGTTTCAGCGAAACTCAAGCCTCGAGCCCTACGGCTCAACGGGTTTCTTTTCTGAGCGCATCCCGATCCGAAGGAGACTCCTTGCTTGAAGGGGGCTTTGCAAGTAGCACACAGCCGTGGCTCCGACTTGCTGGGTTTGGGGTAATGCAAGGGGCTGCAAAAATGACCAATTTTGCGTAAGCTTATTTCTAACATAAACCCTATTTAACCCCTTATCAAACAAGTTTGGAAGGAACCTCCATGTTGCAGCATTGAATTGAAAACTAGCTCTTCTGTATGATGTTTGCCGTGCTTTGAGTCTGCACAGTAGGTGTTTTCTGGCAGACCCAACAATCATAGGTGTCCATTTAGGTTAGTTTGATTAAAACTAGAAGGCACTGGTTTAGATGGGTTTTGTTCTATTGCCCATCCATTTTTCCCAAAGGACACCTATGCCAACTTGAGTTTCCCTCTCCAGGACGGCCCGCTTTGCATCCGCGACGAGTCCCGCAACGGCACCGCGGTGCGGCCGGGGCCTCTGGCGGAGGAGAAGGATGTGACGGCCTGGGAGCCTCTGAAGCGGCTCGGATAGGTTGGGCCTCCAGTTGCTTAACCATGTTTTGGGGTTGCCGGGAGAGGCTTTTCCTAGGGGCTCATTGCTTTCCAATAGCAAGGCCTAAAGTGCGCCGTGGAAGACCATGGTTGTTGTTGGGAAGTGGGGGGGGGGTTGTGAGTGTTGCGGGGTTTGGCTTCGAGCTAAGGAGGGCCTCGGTTTCTGCCCCCCAACCCACAATAAGAATAGGTGTGACTCTGGTCCAAGGATCCCAGAGGGTCCCTTGGTATCTTCTGAGGATGGCTTTTGGGGGGTCAAAAGGGGTCGTTCAGTACATCCTTAGAAGGTACTTAAACTCTCTGGAATTTTCGCAACTTCCCAACTGCCCTGAGCTTTCCAGGATTTTAGGAGTTTTTCGTTGTAGGCTTTTCGTCTTAGGTGACCCCGTATGAATCTCAACCCTAGTTTGTTAGTAGGGGGGTCCCTCCACGTGTGAGGTGCCCAGGGTTCGATTTTGACTACCCCAAGATAGACTTAAACGCAGGGGTTCTCCTTTTGGAGGAAATGAACCAGATCTGGGTTTCTGGGTCTGCCTTGGGGTAGTCAGACAGTTGGTGGTGCCCAGCTATTCCATAAGCTTTCTAGGTGTTTAGTTGATTTAGTTGTAGTTTCCATTTAAACCCACTAAAAGTTAAACTTTCAGCAGGAAATCTGAGAATAGCCCAGTTAAAATATTGCTGATTTCCCCGTTTGGTTTTAAAGGGAACCTCTCAAGGTGTTTTTCAGGAAATGATGTCCTTCCATTTGCTGAAGCCAATGTTTGTTTCGTTTTCCCCTGTTGGTTTTCAAGGGAATGTATAAAGGTGCTTTCAAAAGAATACGGACTTCCATTTTCTGAAATTAGCATTTGCGTTAGTTGTCCCTGTTGGTTTTAAATGGGAATCTATAAGGTGCTTTTTTGAGAATGAGGTACTTCTATGTGCTGACAAGAATACACTTTTTCCCCTGCTGGTTTTCAAGGGAATCTAGAAAGGTGCATTCAGGAAATGAGGCACTTCCATTTGCTGAAACGAATATGTCGTTTCTTCCCTGTCGGTGTCGAATATTGTTTTTCCCCTCTTGGTTTTAAAGGGAATCTATACAAGTGCTGCTCAGGGAATAAGGTACGTCCAATTGCTGAAACGAATATTTGTTTTAGGTGCTTTTCAGGGAATGGGGTACTTCCCTGAGCGTGGGGGGCCGCAAAAGGAGATTCCTCTAGAAATTGGGGGGGCGGTTGTGGGCGCCATTGTTCTCTCTGCAGAGAAGGGCTTAGTAAGTCGCTTCTTTGCTTATGAGTGGAACAGCGGGGAAGGTTGCAAGGAGCGGCTGACAGAATTGCTGGTCGCGCATTTGCCGGGGAGGACGAAAAGGGGGGCCCACCCAAATGGCCGAAAAGAAATGCGGGCCCGCGCACTTCTTTGATGCCTTTTGGCGGACGCCAGTCATTTTAGTTTTGTCTGTACCCTCTATTTAATCCCCCGACAACCCTCAGCCTCAGATTGTGCAGAGTCTTTCATGAACCGCTCCTGGGCGGTTCGTAGCCCGTTTTTCCATCTGCCAGGGTTGGGGCCAAAAATATTGATCCCTGTACACCAACCCGACCATCCCCCGGCCACTTGCAGGGGAAGCAGAACAGCGGTTCGTTCGAACAAAGTAGACGGTTAAACAGGAGGTTCTCGACGGGTTTGGTCAACTCAGGAAGGGCGCGCTGCGGATTTTGCCCCACGGGTGGCAGATCCTGATGCCTTTGAACAGCCGCAAGAACACCAAGCAGCTGGTGGTCTCTGCACGGCTGCTGACGGTGTACATGGGCACCAAGGCCATCCCTGTTTTCTTTGCTGTTTTTTTTTTGCGCGGCGGGGGGGGGGGGGGTGGTCAAAACAAGAGCCAGAATTTGACATCCCCTTAAAAGGGCGGCACCAGCGGCACCAGGGTCCGAGCAGGGGGCCATATTTTTTGGATAGCTTTCGCTTTCTGCCGACAGCTCATGTACCCAAAAGATGAGCTCCATAGGCAGAAGATGGTGAACCAACAGATCAGCTTTTTGGGACCAACATTTCCTCCTGATTCTCAACTCCCGCGAATCATAGAAGCTGAGGGAAAGAAAGATGCGGAAAGAACATGCCTTCTTACAAAGCCTCGTTTTCGTGCACTTCTTTCATAGGGGACAGTGCAGCGGATGGAAGTCACCATGCACGGCGCTCAAATCTAGAACCTGCTGCAACCGGAATCTCCGAGAAGGATGATCCAAACGAGATGAAGAGAGGATGGCATGGGTTGGTGTTGGGTGGTTTTCCAAATTCGGGACACCTGTTTGGATTGGTGATCCAGTGTCTCCCAACAATATTGGGACATTTCGAACCCACTCAACCCCACTTGCCCTGTTCAGGACCTTGAACTTGCTTCGCTCCAACTTGTACCTTTTGGCCGTTTTCCCTCTTGTTGTCTGCATGCTCAGCGATCCAACAACAATGATTTTTGAGAGCCTTGCGATCATGTTCGAACTGCCCGTCCCGTCTTCAAGTAGAACCATGCTTCACAAGGAGTCCAAAGGCAAGCCCAGCGAACTTGTTCAAACAACTACTTGGGTGTGGGTGCGCCTTTTTGATCGGTCACTAAGACCACCAGTTTTTGCTGGGTCCAACCCTAAAAAAGACACACTTAGCACATCGACGCGACCGAGGTGCCTTCCCTGCCGTCGACAGCCACTTTGCGGGCCCAGCGCGTCTTCTCCGCGGGCCCGGCGGTGCGGCGGAACAAGAAGCCCGCGCCAGCGGTGAAGATCGAGGATGCAGTCGACTCGGCCAGGCGCGGTGCTGTGTTTCTTCCTTTGGCGCAAGGAGAACGGTGTGTGTGTGTGTGTGCAAACGGCCAAAAGACCCATTCATTGGGATTGTGCGGTACCATAAACACGAAGTCATGATTGTTTATAATTAGCCTTGCAAATTTATGTTTGAGAGAGGTACTGTTTTAGCGGTTGGTTTGAAGGGAAAGCAAGAGAACTGAACAAAACGGGGTTGCAAGAAAACATCAGCAAGTCACAAGTACATCTGGCCCCTGATTGAATCCCAAAGGTCATTTAGATCTCGCCTGGGCACATGGAGCCGGGCATGCTAGTTACTTGTCCTCCCGCAAAACAATCATGTCGTGTCCCTTGTGGTCAAAGGCAGGGCCCCAAGTCTTCCCGTAAAGACATCTTTTGGGTTGAATGTGTATATTGTTGAACATGCCCGTCTGGGCTTGTCTCGTAGGGGAGTTCAGAGTTTGGGTTTGGAGGCTCATGTTGCACACAGACCTTCCATAAAATGCAAGTGGTGCTCTTTTGGAGACGTGTCCCTTGAGAGTCAACTAGCAAGCTTTACTCTTCTTGGCATGTTCTTTTTTGTTTTCTCCCCTCCCCCGTGTTTTTGTTGGGTTCTGAGCAAGATTTGTCGGCTGCACAAAAACACAGGTTTTCTGCTACCACACCAAAATTCGTGAAGCACGAGCTGTCTTTCCCTCGTAGCCACTGAGCCCGGGGTTTCAGGAGCCTTGGCTTGACGGCTCGGAGCCAGTAGGGCTGATTGACTTGGAGCATGCGTCCGGACCCCCGAAACGTTTTTTTTTTTTTTTAGTATATATGTATATATATTTTTCCGGCCTTCGGTTTCCTTTCAAAGTTCACCAAGCCTCAAGACTCATTTCAGATACGCTCGCCAGCCCATGCGCTTCGCAGCCTTTGTGGCAGGGGCGTGGAGGAAGAGGAGGAGCAAGAAGTTGTGGACATCACGAAGCGAAAGAAAGACAAGAAGACGAAGCCGGCAGACGCGGGCAAGGAGAAGAAGAAGAAAAAGAAGGAGAAGAAGAGCATCTCAGCTGCCATGCAAATCCGCTGAACCTTTTGTCCGAGTGTCGACCGTCGAAATGGCAAGCCGGTTGTTTCCTCCCACAAATCGTGGATCCAATTGCCCCTATAGGTAGCGAAAGGAGGACCATGATGCAAAATTCCATGTCGTAAATCCGCTCCAGATTGATTTCCAGTGCTTCGGGGTTGAGGAAAGCAGGCAGAGGATGAGGAAGCAGAGGAAGCAGCAGTGCCGAAGGGGAAGCGTGTCAAGGAGCAGAATGAGTCTGAGGAGGCCGAAGAAACCGAGGAGCAGAGGAGACTTGGCTCATCTGGGCCCATTTTTTGCCACCAGCTTGCCGATCGGGGGGATAGGGGTGAGAAGAGCCCGCCTGTAGGGATCCATTTTTTTCATGTTAGTTTGACCTAGGGGTACCCCATGTTTGGCGGGTTTGGGCAGCCGCACGAAGGTCGACACCGTTGCGCCATTTTGGGGACCCGGTCTGGTCCCCCACCCACTTCATGCCCTGAAGGCATGGCATTTGCGGATTCCACCGGACGTCCTTGTTTGAAGCACTTGGCCCATTTGTAGCATTTCTTCGGGTTTGTGAGGCACTACAATTCACCCGAATCGCAAGAATCACTTCTCTCGCGAGTAGTGTCCACATGGGATTAGTAAACGGGGGGGACCGGTCCCCCCCTCACCCCCCCCCCCCTCAATGATGGGGACACCTGGAATACTATCTTGAGATCCAGTTCAAGTGAGTTTCCATTTGATTTAGTATTGGTAGACTTGGGTTTCCATTTGATTTTGTATTGCTGGAGCTTCCTTTTGAGATTTGGAACTGAGTTTTCATTTGATTTCGTATTGGTAGACTTGAGCTTCCATTTGATGTAGTATTGCTGGAGCTTCCTTGTGAGATTTGGAACTGAGTTTCCATTTGATTTCGTATTGGTAGACTTGAGCTTCCATTTGATGTAGTATTGCTGGAGCTTCGTTTTGAGAACCGGAACTGAGTTTCCATTTGATTTCGTATTGGTAGACTTGAGCTTCCATTTGATTTAGTATTGCTGGAGCTGCCTTTTGTTTTTCTTGGGGGGGGCCAGGCAACAAGACTTTATTTCGGGGGCCTGAAATAATGCCAAGTTGGGCTTTGTGGGATTGATTGTGGGCAGGTTTTTCAACAAGAGACATGTAAGAAAACATGGGTTTGGTAAAGCTGACAATTTTGGATTTGAGGAGCAGGCCCAAATCTAGCAACACGGCATGAAGCATTGCCAGCCTCACCTAGGCTGTCTAATTACTCGACTGGCTAAGAGGCAATTGCGCTGGGACGGTTGTATTTTTCAGGGGGCCAGGCAACAAGACTTTATTTCGGGGGCCCCTGAAATAATGTCAAGTTGGGGGCTGATGTGCTACCCCCTTTGTGGGTTTGATTGTGGGCAGGTTTTCAACAAGAGACATGTAAGAAAACATGGGTTTGTTAAAGCTGACAATTTGGGATTTTAGGAACAAGGTACCGAAGATCCGAGGACCAGGTGTTGGCTTGGCTATCTCTCCTCTCCTTTCTCTCTTTCTTTTCCTTTTTTTTTCTCGTTATTTTCCGTTTTTTTTGGGGGGGGATTTTTTTGGCGCGGGTGGCGGGTGCTTGTCTTTAATCCAGGTGCATTTATTAATCTTTTTGGGCCCCCCAGTTGTCTTTATTTTGCGTGCATGTTTAATCCTATGTGGACATTAGGGGGACACTATAAAAACAGGAGTGGTGGGAAAGGCAGTGTTTAAATGGGCTTGAGTCGCCCAATCCTGATGGTCAATCGCACAAACAAAGAGCTTCCTTGAAACACAAGCCAGCTCAGATCACTCTGTTATAATTGACCCAAACAACCACTGCCCTCAAACAAATTCCACCTTCAGAAACTCAACTCAGGAAGTGAGTGGGGGTATTTGACAAGTTGCCCGTCGAAGAACAGGGTAGCCCCAAAATGGGTTGCCCTGGCAAATGGAAACAAGGACTACCATTCCTTTGGTCCCTGACCCCTGGTGGTGACTTTTTTGTACCCAAATGGATCCTTGGGGTTTTCCCACCACCCTTGGGTTTCTGGGTCTACCTTGGGGTGGTCCAAAGGTGGTGACTAATGTTCACCCATACGGTTTCAGTTCATGAAGCTCTCACATGGTTGTTGTTGGGAAACATCTTACATTTTTGCATATTGTGGTTTAGTAGAAAAAACCACTGAACTGTTAACATTTCAATGTTTGCTCCCCTTCCAACCTCAATCAAGCCCAGGAAAGAGCGGGAGGAGCGGGCGAGGCTCGAGCAGGAGCTGGAGGATGAGCTGGCGGAGGAGACGCGGAAGACGCTCGCCGCGCCCGCGGAGAGCGCCGCAGCTCCGCTGAACGCGGCAAAACGCAGACCTCCGCCGAACGTTTCGGCCGGTAGCTTTCTATGTCTCAGTTGTTCAGTGGGTGCCAAAAACACCCTTGCTCCCCTTTTTTTGTGGTGACTGCCCCACTAAAAATGGTCTTGTTCAGCGGCACCTTTTTCCTGTTTCCTCCTTTTTTTGGGTGCCCCACTAGAAATGGTCCAAGCCCCAAAAAGGGTTCCCTTTTTATTCCAGGGTCACTGAACAACTGAGGTGTGGTCTTAAATATTCTCAACCACGCAACCACCAATCCAAACCACTAATTGGTGGAGAGCTGAAAATCAGCCGGTAGTTCTGCCTGGTCTTGTGGTTGTTGCGCTAAGGCCTATATAAAGCTTTAGAAGCATAGTGGTAGAGCCCAAAGTCGGTAGCTTTTGGGTAATGCCCGTTTGTGTTTCTTTGTGCGTGTCTGTTCGTGCGAGCATGTGCGAGTGTGTTTAAACATAACCTGGGTTTCATCACAAAAGCAAGAGATGGTTGATGTGCGGTGGTGCTTGGCCGAAGGCGACCACATGTGGCTTTTGCTACACAGGATAACCCCCACTGTGTGGTAAAGCTCCACTCCAGGGCGTGTTTTTTTTGGTCCGGGATCCATTTTTTCGGCTTTTTGAAACCGGTGAAACCCTGGGTCCGCTGCGGGGAGATTTTGCGCGGCTCTCGTCATGGAAGATGCCTCCGAGCCACTCTCATGGACTGTTTTGAACAAGGCTTTGCACCGAAGACATGTTCCCCTGGTTGGCAGGAAGAATCACTTCTATCACTTCTATCTTCTTGGAGCCTTACACTCTCGTTTGGGTTTTTTGTTTTCTTCTGCGCTCGCAAGCCGACCTTGTCTTCAATGGGTGTAAATCTAAGCAGTTGCCCTGGTTACTACCCATCAAGTGCCCTGCCCCTGCAAGGGACAACCCTTGGTCATAGATCCGGACAGAGACCCCTAAGCTTTCAGTTCGATAAAATAATGTAGTTCACGTTTCATCAGATTCAGCCCCATCTAATTTCAGGGGCTGGAACCAAGAAACGACAAATTTGCCTGTGTTGTGGGGAGCTCGTCGCTTCAGGGTCGTCAAAACCAGCTCACCAAGGTCCTTCATATCCCATTCTTCAGTCTTGAATTGTAACAGCCACACCTTGGACATCCATTTCGCCCCACAAGCCAAACAACGGCAGAAAACATTACCTCGGGGAATTGAACCATTGGGGTTCTGAACTTTACCAGCGCGAGCTGGTCGTAAACCGTCGGTGCCGCCCATCCGAGGCTTTCGGCGGCAGTGCCGTGGACAGCGCGGGGAGCGCCACCTACGGCGCCGAGAGCTCCAGGCGCCGTGGCCGCTTTTGGGCGCCGGGCCGCCGCCGGGAGAGACGTCCGCCGGGCTGAAACAAAAACGTAGGTTCTCGTCTTGGAGGTTTTTTGGTCCCTTCGGTTTTGATTGACCAAGAGAGAGAACACATGGTTAATTGGTCAATGTCCTTTCTGTTTGGGATGTGGGTGTGGGTCAAAATTGAACCACCAGGGACCCGCGGGTTTTCGTCCCATGTTTCCATTTACCAGGATTCCATTTTGGGTACCTATGTTTGACTCACAGCCATGTGTTGAGTCATTCGTTTTTGCTTGACCAAGAAAGAACTTGTGTGTGTGTGTGTGCGTTTTGCTTTTCTTGGAAATCGCCGGGGTGGGGGGGGGGGGAGGTGGGCTTTGGGGAGTCTTCCTTCTGACCCAGATCGCGGAGGAGTTCGGGGGAAAGCGTGTTGGGATCCGTTTGCGTTCCCTGACCAGCCAAAGACATGCTCGTCTTCGTATGGCCACTGGTCAAAATCCAAATCGTACCCCCAGTGAACATCCGATTCAATCCAACCACTAAAATAGGTTCTACAATGGGTGGCGAATTCACCTACCCCAAAATGGTACCATTGGTTTTGACGCACAGCCATATGGGGAGGGCGTCAAAGTTAAACCACCAGGTTATGGACAGGAATTTGAGTGCTTGGGTCCATGTACCAGGGCAAGCCATTTTGGGGTTGCCTATGTTTGACCCTCGCCCACACGGGTATTTCAATCAAAATAGGGGAGCCCTTTTCCAGCGTCTTGGCCCAGGTACCATCCTCCCACAGAGGTGCCAGAAGACGATGACGAGGCCAACGATGAGGAGACCGCGGGCAACGCGGTGCATTGGTGTGGGTGTGTGTGTGTGTGTGCAAAAAGGCTATATCATTTTTGGGCCCGTGTTCCGGAATAATGACCCACAAACTGATTGGGTATGGCCTAACCCAATCCTGTTAAAATATTGTTAAACTCCAGCTTCCATGAATTAAAAGTGTCAACTGGTCGTTTAAGCACGTTTGTTTCCACCTTCATTTTGCAGGTGAGTACAAAAGTAAGGCAAACAGTAGCATACGCATGCTTGCTAACATGGCCGGAATCGGGTTTTCGCCGCAAGGAGACCCAGCGGGTTTTGCAGAAGGCAATGGCCGAGAGCGAAGCCGAGAGCCGAGATGATGAGGTCCAAGCGGCCTGGGGCAAAGCCTTGGGTGCTGAGAAGCTGAGTTGCAAGATAATTTTTGGGCAAACCTATAAACTTGCTGGTGCGATAGGTAAGGGGGTTTGGGAATGAACTGGTTTGGTTGGATTCCCGAATAAAGGAAACAGGGGATGGCTTTCCAGCAAGTAAACCCAGCGGTTGATTTACTTAAAGGGGAAGCGGAAGCTCACGTGGTTTAAGCCATTGGGGCGCAACAGAAGAAGGCACGGACAAAGAACCGAATCTGTTGGCCGTGGATGTTCCTTGGTGATAAGAAGGTTGGCCTTTGCTGACCCCAGAGTTTGCAGCCCAGTGGATCCCAAGCTACAAAAGTTTTCCGCCGCCATCCCATCCTCGGGCGGTATTTTGCACCTAACCCGGAAAAAAGGAAAGTATGGAGCAGTTTCATGTTCGTCACTTTTCTGAGTCACATTGGGTTACCCCCAACAGCAGTGGGTTCCTCAAAGGCACACGGGTTCCTCTCATGTGGGTTTTTGCATAACCTATGGCGATCCCATTTTGGGTGGATGAACATCCATTTGCCGCCTATTTGGATGTTCGCCAGGGGGTTTTGGGTTGTGACCCACCGCCATGTTGGTTTTTGCCGGAAATTCAGCGTTGGGGATGTTGTGACTCCAAGGACCGCTGAGGCATCCGAGGCGGAGGCGGAGGAAGCGGAGGCGGAGGAAGCCGAGGCGGAAGGCGAGGCCGAAGCGGCGGGAGAGGCTGAAGCTGACCTGGCCCCGCCTGCCGTGGTGGAAATCCAAGGCGTGTCGACCAGTCAATGTGTGCGTGTGGTTT